TATATTAAAAATATATTAAATTCCTACACTAGGCTGAAAACAGAAATAAAGGAAATGCATCATATTACACTAACATTAAGACACCACTGAATTTAAGGCATTTCAACAAGTAGATAATTATATTTTAATAGAAACTTATTTAGAAAAGAGCTCAAAAAGGTAAAAAACCCTTTTTTTCTTCATATTCTTTCAGAATGCTGTAATGGGCTATCATGATAGTTTTTGTACAAAGCACAAAATCAATATTAAAAGTCACCAGTACAGAAAAAGCATGAAATATATCAAAGGAACCCTATTACTTTTTATTCACCAGGAATAGCTGATACTCATTATTGTCAGATGTTTTTAAAAAACATTACTTTTTATGAGAGGAAGTTGCAGTATTGTAAGTCTGTGCTTGGGTGTGCACAAGCACCTATCTATAATTGCTTGAATAATTGCCAAAACACTTGCCTAAAAAGAAAACTAAAAAGCTATATTCAATCCTTATTTAACTCTATTAATTCCAAAGGAATTACACAATTCAGTGTGTAATTACATTCAGTTTATTCATTAGAAAGCAGCATGATACATGATCAGCCTTTATGTACAATCCATAAACCTCATTCCAGAGCTTTTTGTAATAGACAAGACAGAAGAACTCCCATGAGCCCAGTTTAAACAGATAACATATACCTTCATTTTGATATGTGGTGAGATTACTGAGAAGAGTTGACTATGCATTGAAATGAAAATGCATGTTGAAAAATACAGTGCAAAAATATAAGAACAGGTAATGTTTGGCCTGAAATTAATAATTTAGATGATTTTTCAATAAAGTATTTGCAATTTGCAAACTTTTTTTTTTTTACTGCCCATGCTTTGTAAAGCTCTCCACTATGCATTTAATCCACAGGTGTTCAAAGAAACTGTTTCCCCATGGTCTCGTATAAAAGAAAAATCAAAATGATAAAACTATTTATTAACAAAACCACAGCATCTATTTTGAAATCTTGCTCTCAATTGGTAATGGAGTTCTCAATTATTAATATTTTCCTCCACAAAATTTAAATATTTATTCAGTTTCTCTAACTGTGAGATTGGAATGCCAGTCTGGTTTACATCATTATACAATGGCTTACTTTCAAAGCTTACTTTTAAATTCTATTTCTATCATTAAAAAATATGAAGCTAATAGATGATTTTTTTGATCCAGTCCGCAAACATGGTGACTCGAACATACACTCCTGGTCGTTTGGGAAGTGCACACCCATAGCCAAATGATGTTACACCAACCAAAAACCACTTGTTACCATCTTCAAATGTCAGAGGGCCACCTGAATCTCCCTGCAATATGAAATTCAATAGTTAAAAGGGAACAGTGTCAACTCTGAAGCAGAGCCTGTTTATGATGTTTTGTTCATGTTAATCCTTAATCATAGACATTGTATCCCTATATGTCTTGGGCACCAGAAGTGAGATCAATATGAATTCTTCTGTGTGGAAAAATTCTTGAGATAATCCATTTCCTTTTTTTCTTTTTTTTTTAAAGGATGTGATTTTAAGCTCTTATCACTCTTTCACTACAGGACTGAGTTTCAAATGATTTTTTTTGCTTATTCCTTTTACGTTTAGCCCTTTATCTTTCACAAAGCCTGGGTAAATGTGTAGGGTTATTTTTTAGTTGAATCTATTCAGCCAAAATGCAGTTCTATTTTCAGTCACCCCAGAGTTTCTGCAATTTCAAGTGTAGAGAAAAAGATGGCAAGATTGCCAGAAGAGGAGGTGTCCTTTTCTCACACGTCCTTCTCAATAGTTTAGCAGATGTAGCATTGCAATAGAGCGTGGGAGACCAAATTTGATTAATCCCACAGCCTGAGTGAGGGATGAGTCAGCCATGAGTGTCTTGTTTTGATGAGAAAGAAGACGATGACTATTTTTCATTGTCTATTGAGTTAGCTGAACGATTATTATTTTTGTCTTCTCATGGTCCTGCGAATGGAGCTTTAGGGGAGAGTTCTGCAAGGACTCGGCCTTTAAAATACTTCTACCCTTAACTCTAGGGCATCCGCAAAAGTTCAAAGGCTCTGACAGCAGCCTAAAGGCTGAAGCACTATCAGGACTTGCTTGTTTGTCTTTGCTCATGGTTGAATGGTCATTGATCACAGCGCTGGTCGCTTGTACTCTGTATCAGACTATGGTGCTACACCACTTTTTTTCAGTATGAGGTTCAGAAGGTTCCTTTTTAGGAAAGAGGAAAGAGCCACAGAGGCTGAAGGAATGGCAAGTGAAATTAGGCTTGCACACACTCCTCCTTCTAGACTAAACTAGCCAAAGTCACTGCACCTGATGAAGGCTTAGGTTGTGAGGGCAGGGCAAGAGCAATTACATGAGAGTGCTCCTCATCAGACTTGAGGAGAACCAGCCAGTCTCTATGCCATAGACTCCATATTGCTGGAAGAAAAATATGTGACAGCCAATTCTGACTATGTCCTCAAAGAGAAGCAGTGTGTTATAAACAGAGCTGGAATGGATAAAAACTAGATCCCCAGGAAGCAACATAGGAGATCAAGCAGCCTCTCCAAAATACTGTGGCATCCACTTACAAAAGGTCTCGAGAGTCTACAGATTCTGGGGAAAAGCATCACTGCTCGCTCTCTTTCTCTGCATGAAGCATTTCTGAGACTTCAATCTATTTGATATTTATTTCTCTGTACTCTGCTTTTCCCTAAGCATGTCCCTCTTTCCTTCATGGAATTACTCAGCAGTAATTATTCAAAGCTTAGTGCAGAAAATTTCCAGTCCTCATATTTATCTCCCTCCACAGTTGTTTATGTCAATATGATACAAAATAGATTTTTATCTTTTCAACTTGTATACTGATAAAGTATTAAATGGGCAAAATACTGTGAGTAGAAGTTACATTCATGGGCAGTGATTGTCCTGGTTTTAATGATTGGAGAATCGGGGAGCATTTTATTCAGTAATTAGTTGTGGAGTATGCTGGCAGTGGAAATGAGTCGCTTGTATTTACCTGACAGGAATCTACTCCTCCTATGTCATATCCCGCACAGATCATATTCTCAGTAATACTATATTCTGGCATCCATTGTTGGCATTTTTCATTTGAAATGAGAGGGACCTCTGCTTCTTGCAATATATCTGAAGTGGGACCTGATGAAAATACAAAGTACGTTTACCCGCTGTAATAAATATGTACATCCCGCTCGGAACACTGATGGTTTTGTTCCTGTTCCAGCATGTACCGAGCAGCAGGAAGCTCTGCCTCACCACTGTATCATTCAGGCTTATACCCCTGTAACACAGTCACTTATTAATTGGTGCTCATTAACTGAATCCTGTCTTTCATTTGTGTAATGGGACTGAATTTGGTTGTAATTAAATCAAGATTACTAAAATCAATGACTATGAACTCACTGTGGGGAGATCTAAGGGATAATTAAGGTCTTGGGAGCTTGGATTGTCCAATGTTTCCTCACTATTCATTGTGTAACTTTGATTGACTAGTTCAAGTTTTTATAAAAATTTCTGTTACTAGTTCCTACCCAAAATTTTAAATGCAATTTTACTCTGAAAATGTAGAAGCAAATACGTACAAGCAACTGTGGAAGTGAAATGGCATGTTTATTATTTCACAGAGACTCCAAATCTGGAGCATGTGGTATACAAACAGAACATACATTTCACACCACAGTCAGTATGCTTGACTTCTGGGGAAAATAATTTGCACTTTTTCAGGAAGACTAATCTTCCTCCTCCCCTACCCAATATCTGGAAATAAGATGTATATATTTCATACTGAGAAAAGTAGTCATCATAACTTCTAAGGGCATGCAATAAGGTTTTTGCATAATTTAATGATCTTAGATATGTATATTTTTTCTAATAAATATGTTATTACTCCATTACTTTGCTTTAGAGAAGGAACAGCGGAGGGGGATAGTTCCCAAAGTTTCATACGCAGGAGTACCTCTCTAAACTATTCAACCTTAGCAACCCCTGTGGAATCAGGAGCAAGCTTTCTCTCACAGCTTCATGCCTGTCATAATTTTCCAAGCAGATGACCCACCTTCGTTCATAATACTACCCCAGCCAGCAATGGAGCAGTTAATTCCCGGTAAAAACTGTTGATTTTTTTCTGGTAAGCAGATAGGTTGTATGTAATCTGTGAACGAGAAACAAGCAATCAATTTCAACCTCTTCCCTGTATTCAGGTTTTTATGAAGTCACATAAGAAAATATTCATTAATTCAAACCCACTTTCTGGGCAAGATATCCAGGAAGTACTGGACTGACTCCAGAATGATTAAGTTGTAAAAAATGTACAGCCACCCCATCACCCTCATATGCTTAGCACAGTTAGAGTTTTGCATAATAGAGTAAATCTGTTTTATGGGAAAATAACAACTCACCTGTGTATTGCACTTTGTATTGAAGGTGCATGAGGGCAATATCACTATCTTTTGTACGCTTCATGTAATGAGGATTTATAACTATTTGATCGATATTTCGAGCTACTGTTGAAGGCTGTGTCGTATCTGATTGGTCATACAAGCCAAGAACTGCTTTCCATTGAGATGGTTTTAATTGCCTCCTAGAAGTTGCAAGGAATATTCAAAATTATGAATGATTAATGAAAGTTTTGAAAAATATGTTAGGTAAAATGCTAATCTTTAATCTCATGGTAATTCATAGCATTTGCAGATTTTGTCAAAATAAATAGAATGTAGCGGATGTGCTTACAATTTTGTGGTAGTAATACTATCTTAAACATCCACACTGTAGAAACGTGATTTTTTGATTTTTTATGTTAAGCTTATAATGCATTATTTATAAAGAATTAATCAGACAGTAGTGCAGAGGAGGAAAATACATTAACTAAATTACTATGTTTTTTTCAACACTGTGAAGAATACTGTTGACTGCCCACCAGGCAATTAATATCAGCGCCAGTTAGAAAATTATTATGGAATATCTAAAGAATAATAGGTCTAAAGTGTCATTGGAAATGCTGCAGCTCATAGACTCAGAAAATTGGTCTCTTAATTTTTTAATCTAAATCGAAAAAGATATGCTAAATATGACATAATCTGCATTTTTTGCTGAGCTACGCATGCTGGTTTGAGGCTGTATTTAAGTTAGAGAACTTAATTATTTGCTATTTTTTAATCAACCAGTTCATAGTTTCAAAAATATGTTTTCAGCCTGATTGTTGGTTTCTGCTGATCCATTGCTTTAACATCAAGAGGTTATCTTGTTCTAAACTGGGAGTGTTTAAGTGGTGAAACATTGGAACAGGTTGCCCAGAGAGGTGGTAGATGCCCCATCCCTGGAAACATTCAAGGTCAGGTTGGACGGAGCTCTGAGCAACCTGATCTAGTTGAAGATGTGCCTGCCCATGGCAGGGGGGTTGGACTAGGTGACCTTCAAAGGTTCCTTCCAATCCAAACTGTTCTATGATTCTATGATTCTGAGTTAAATGTTCAGAATTAAGGTGTGAAGCTGCAAGCTCCCACTTAGGAAAATACCAGCAAAGTCAAGATGATAAAATGAGATATAAGTGAAAACAGAAAGGTGATTTAGGTGAAAAGGAAATACCAAGACAGGTGTGGATTTACTGTGTGAAAACTAGGAGGGCTTTATCCTTCTCATTTCAGTGTCTTTGTGTGGAATATAGCTCCTGTCATACAATGAGGCAGCATTAATGTATTGGCATAGTCTCCACTGCCTTACTACTTAGCTATTTATAATGAAAGCTCTACTGTAATTTTGAATATTAATGTTTCTTGTTTTGCCATTCCAGTTTCTAGGTGTCTTCTACAGCACTTGTTTTTATTATAGATGTTATGGAAGCAAACCCTAGAAAATATTTAAACATGCACCACTTTGAATGGTACAAATAACACCATCTAGAGGATATCCAATATTGCTTAATCAGTGCACCTAAATCAAGATTCATTCCAATGATGCACAGTAAGTCTTGATCAATCTCTGATAATATACAGGAGAAACAGGCAACACTGAGTTTACCTTTATGAGGTATGATGTCATTCTTTATACCACTGGCAGAGATTCAACTAATTAATGAAGGCCCACATTAATTATGGGTTAAGTGCAAATACTCGGTATTAATACCATATATTTAAAGTGCAATTCTTCATTGTTCAGAAAACGCTCCTTAGTTTCCATGATTCTCTGCCTTAAAGTAAGGACTGAGCCTTTACCAGAAAGTAAAGGAGCCTTTAGCTGAGCCCACAAGTGATTCAAAACACAGTAATTAAACAGTGAGCTAGTTGTTAATTTTTTATATCAGTGTCACAAATTACTCATAATCTGATGCCTCCTTAGTAAACCTGCACATAGAACAAGTGTTTCATCATCATCATTAAAATCAAAAAGAAAAGACATGGCGTGGATGTCTTATGGCCATCTCAGCTACTTGGAAAGATGCCCTGAAGTCAGTGGAGAGAAAGAGTTACTTGTGAATTTGTATTAATTTCATTCTGAAGTAAACATCTAGAAACGCTCTAAAAAGTGCCACTCCCCAGTGATTTCAGTATGATCCTTTGAAAGTGTGTTTTGCTCTATACAGGATTGATCGATGGCTCAGGTCATACTTCAACCCAGCTTTACTGATGACTATCCACCATTTGGATGCTTGCATGTTGTGGGAGTATCAGAATGTGTTAGCTTCTGAGTGCAACGAACATTACCCATATACACAGTGTGCTGCTGTCACCAGCCATTCATCACTGACAAGGGAAGCTCCACAAACAGGTCTGGAATTAAAATGGAGTGAAACTATCCAAGGCCAAGCTTCTCTTCTGGCATCACTTCCACCTACAATCCTTGTTCCACTGTTCTGAGTTACCATGTGTTTTCCACAAGCTAAAATAAATAAATAAATAAATTAAAAAATAAAGATTTGTAGATTTTTAGGGGGGTATACCATGTTTTATTAGACTAGCTAATATTCTTGGAAAAACAGGCTTTGTAGTATCTGAACTGCTATTCAAAAATACTGTTACCATGGAAAAAAGTTTGGTGTTTTATAGCTGAAATCAAGATGCAACTTTATAACTTAGATTTAGATGTGTTCTTTCCTCACACCTTCTGCATTTTTTTATATGTGTGTTTTCAGTATAGACCCATCTCTAGTGTATACTTAACTCTGAAAACAAGTGAAGACTGTAAATTTTCCTGTGTTTATATCATTACAAGTATAGCTTTTATAGTCCATTCCCTAACCTTTCAATTCAAACTATAAACATTAGGCTTTATGGACTGAACAGTTTGATTTCTGTGTGAGATATTCCTAGGGTATATGTACTTACGTTTAATGTTACATTGCAGATGAACCACCAGGTTGTTTAAACAGTGTTCTCTAGAATGAAAGTGCAATTAAATCACAAGTATCTGCACACCAGGTAACACTAAATGACTGTCAAATATACATACATACACACATACATATCTATAAAAATGTATATAAGCATATATATACTTTTATATATAAGTACATTAGTTTATCAGTATCAAACTGTTTAGTTTAATATATTACTTTGTCCTACATGTTTTGTCCTACATGTTTTAATTATATTTTAATTATAAATACACAACATTATATTATATATAATATTAAATGTACGTATTCCTCTTCAATGGACACTTAATTGGTGTATGTTATGAAAATAAAAGTAGAGTCCCCTTGTGTTTTAGGGAAATAATTCATCTGTCTGTGACAGATTCTCAATAGAATTGTAACTGCACATAGTATTTTATCTACCTTTTCAGATGTTTTCAATACCTTACCACTAGAGATCAGTGTGACCAAAGAATTGAAGAGGTTAGTGTGATATCACTGTATCTTTTTACTAAGCTTATAATGCACTGTAAAATATATAGCTGCATATACAGGGTTAGAAATTATTTAGCAGAGATATAAAACTAGAATCTGAAGAGCACAAGACCACAGATCAAAACTACTCAAGCATTTCTAATACCCAGAGGTTTTAAGATTATCTTCATAGCCTGTAATGAATCTGAACACTTGGGACAGTATGTGTGCTAGCAATTTAAATCTGATACACACAGAAATATATCAGAGAAAAAAAAAAAGTCTGCCAATGGCTAGTTTACAGTATGCATCTCCACATGATTTTTAAATAGGAAAAAGGAAGGATACTTTAAACGTGATATGGTATTATGTATCCCTCACTATGTTTGCTCTAAAATTTGATATCTATTGTGAGGGAAATAATGCATGATGTGACCCAGCATTTTCTCAATGGCATAGTGGTGCAAGAAGGACAAGTGAGAGTGTGACCACCCCCCACCTCCCTAATTAAATCTTCACTACAGAGGGGGTAAGAATGAGATATGCCTCAGCCCTGAATAGTCTCACATAGCCATTTTCCACTTCAAGATAGATGCATAATTTTAAAGCTGTAATTTAAAGTGGAAACCAAATTCTGCAATTTGTATTCAAATCTGTATTGACTTCATAAGGGTGTCCCTTGGTAGTGAGACAAACATCAAGGAGGACAACCAGAAATGCATAAACCCACAGGAAACCAGTACCATCTTCTGCATAAACTTCATAGCAACTAAATACTCTTGACCAAGCTCCCTCCATAGGCTTTAAAAGGGTGGTCAGTGCTACTGCATATTAGCTCTTTTATCCGGTCCTATGCTTTCTCTTAAGTAGATGCATCCAACATGTCAGATTTGTCCCTATTTTTTGTATTGAAGCAGTCACATGTAAGGAGGGTCTTTGTCCCACCACGAGTACCTACTGATTGCTTTAGTAGAAATTACTTCATGGGCCTCTGTTTTTTCTTCTTTCTGAAGCTATCTCACAATGTGAAAACCACTTCCTTGCCTGCACTTCAATTCACCAGTCCTCAGCTGCCTCTTGGTCAGCACAGGAGAGTCCAAAAGGCAACAGAGGCATTGCATGTGCTGAATACCCATCCTATGTGCCCCTCTGAGTGTCAACTATGAAGCAGAATGCCAGGCAGAAATCTGGAGTAGTTGGGACATCTGTGAGTATGATCTTCACTTAGGACTGGCAAAAGCAATTATGCCTGTGGAATCTGCTCACATATATCTTCAAGGCAGGATTTTGCCCTGTTATAAAACTATCCTGCCAAGAAATACATTACCTAAGTGCATCAGAGAACAGTTTTGCTGTCTCTGCCACCACAGCTTTCAAGTCCTATTGTATGTGCCCTCATTTGCTTCAGTGGTAGTTACGCTTGAATAAAGACCAAAGACAATGTGAGAAATATGTTTTATAATTTGATTACCAGTTAATGAATTTGGTTTTTTAAATTATCAAATCTGTGTGATTTTTCTATCATTCATTACATGTACAAAAAAAGTGTGCAAATCTGTAATGGTGTCACCCTGTAAAACAATTCCTATCAGCTGTCCAGATGAAACATGGTAGAAGATACCTATTTCTGCAACAGAAATACAACTAAAATGAATGAACTTACTCCATTTCCTCCTGCATTAATCACTTTTTAGTGTTTAATAGACATTAACAGAAGACATCTTTAAATCATTACTGCTCTTTAAGATCTCTTGTGGCAATGCTGGTTTAGACATCCACTCAAGAAAAAAAGAAAAATAGCTTGCAATGATATTCCATTAGTTTAAGATACTTTCACCACCAGTGAGAATGATAAATATTTGGGATTAACAGAGTATAATTAGAACATAAAATGTATCTTTTTAAAATTTTTTTTTTACTGTAGATAAAGTACAGCATAGCAAATTAAGAATTCTCTCCTGCTTTGTTACTATGTGGTATGTTTATAAAGGAAACCTGAAAGAACATGGACTCTTGCCCTGGTTTCAGCATGGTTTCAGCATTTTAGCAATTAGACAGTAATTTTCTGCCTCAGTGCTTTTGCTAGGATTCCAGGGAAATGTGTATAATAAGCCCTCTTATAAGCAGAAAGACAGTAATTGAAGTCATTATATATATTTTTTTTATCCAATGATGACAAGCCTTTCTCCTTTTGGAGGTGTACTGTAAATCTCAGAACTTCCTGAGAATATAATCCTGTGCTGACGTTACATTTTCATTTAATCTAGAAGAAACTCTACCTGTTTGTAGGACCCTTCAGAATCACTTCAGCTGTTGTTTAGATTGAGAAAGATTAGAATATAATCTAATGTATTCCAAGGATCATCTCATCTAATGATTCACTTCTATGAGATGTGGAGACAAATCCAGAAATCATTTTTGAGTGGGACTAATTTGTCTAAATATAGATACCTGTCTGTGAATTGCTTACCTTAGCAATCCACACTTAGTCCTAAATCTGTATCAGTAAAGTCAATGGATTATAGAGTGTGACTCATCATATTTCAAGAGATGCCTTGATGGATCACAATTTGTAGTGCTTATTTTTCTCTAATGATTACAGAGAGAACCTGGTGTGGTAACTACTATATAATCATGGGTGAATGTCACTCCTTTTTAATTCTTCTACTATATTATATATTCATAATTTAGAGATATCTAGATGACAAATGTTTTGTAAAAATAGCAATATTTATCATTTCCACAATAAATGTATAAAGACTTCACTTAAGATTGTACTGAATACTAGTTAAAAATGTCGTAAGCAGATGGACAAGAATGGGAGGGGGAAGAGTGAGTTGTTCAATGTTACACAGAATTCAGCAATAGACTGTATAGAGTCTACTATAGAGAGTAAAACCTAGATATGTTTATAGTCCAGACCTCATACAGAATCATGTTACCTCTCAGATAAACTTGAGCTAGAAATTAGTGTATAAATGATCACCACCATACTTTAAGTTATCCTTTGTATGAGGAAGAAACCTCACTCTACCCACCTTTTTGTAAATATTAGGCTGTGGTTAGCTGCTTTGGTGATGTTGACAAACGGGCCTTCTCCAGTGAATAATACAGTTGATGACATGTTTGCATCCCTGGAAGGAAAAGACACACACACATATTTTCAGATATTTATCCTGTTCCACCAGTGGAGGAGTGTTTGGGAAATGATTATGCTGGTGGAATAAACTGCATCATTTTTTCCCTGAAATAATGACTATTTATGAGGAGATTTTTGAGGCTTGAAACTCATACAGATTAAAATATGACTCATATACTTTCACTCTTACATCTTATTCTAAGATTTCTAATGCTACAATAATATCGAAAGAGACATAAATCAATTATTTCAATAGCACTAAATTATCAATTTCTGCTTTTCTGTGCCACAATGAAGGGTTTGCAGTACCAACTCTTAAATATATGGAGCTAAAACTTAGTATGCAAAAGGGAACAGTAATAGCTGAACTTTGGAAATCACAGTTTTGCTTTTTTAAGGAAGGGTAATTACATTGATACTATAATTCTGAGCCTAGAGAAGAGTTAAAAGTGTATTTTATATCATGAAGAATCTAATGGAATAAATGCTACCTTCCTCAGAAGTTAAGTTTCACCACATAGATCTGTTGAAATCAAAGTAGCTCTTTGTGGAATAAGTCAAGGCTGTCATGTTTGCTATTGAACAGAATAGTTCCTCTGAAGTGGGATGTGCTCTTTGACTGACTTTTTTTGTAACGATGGCCTTTTGAACACCAAGAATTCTTTGTACTATTGGTGAGATAAATTGTTTTGATGTTTACAACCCATATCCAGATTTACTTTATAGCCCATTCTGCATCATATACTTTGTGATACTGCATATGACCAGCTTGGAACATACACCCAAGAAACATATTTGTTTTCTCTTGAGGAAGCATGGGGAAAAAACATAGCTGTGGTCAGACTACATAATTTTTTTGGGAGTGACAGCCTACTCCCATCTGACCCTTTAGCCATACTATCTCAGGAGCAA